GTAGTTTTTTGGTAGATAAATTCAGACTTTTGGTAACTATTTTATTGTCATCGAGAGAAAGCTTTAATAAAACAATAAAATTTGTCTATGGTTATGCAACAAAATTTCTCAATATACATTACTAAAGAAAGGGACCATCTCTGTGATGCTAATTGCTACTGAAAACGTTTTTCTTCCAAACATTTGTAGAAACCAGTGATGTCCAGTGTTAAACCCTGAACTTATTATATGGGTTTCAGAGGGGTAGACAAACAAAATTTTCTCGCACTGAGGACAAAAAGGGCAATATACATAAAATAAAAGTGGGAAAAACAAATAGATGCAGCCAAGTACAAAAAATACACCATTGACCATCATGAGTCTAAAAATTATCCAAGAGACCTCTGTAGACTCTTTTATACTGTAGAGAACATGCTGAAGTAGAAGGAATTTTCTAGAAATGTAGATATGTGAAAAAACTTTGCTATGAATCATTATTAGTATCTTCATACTTCATCATTATTTATTAAAAATGTATTCATCAAATAGATTTTAAAAGGCAAATACTGTGCTTTGTATTAGGAATATAATAATGAACAAGCCAGAAAAGATCTTACCTACGTCAGAGTAAGTCTTGTAAATAGCCAATTCATTAACTGGTGAAATCTTAGTGGTTTGGGACAACTCATTTATCCCCAAATATCTCTTCCTTTCACCTGTTATAGGTAGATGGATTTTTTGGCTTTTTCAGTTTTCTTTTTTTTTAAAGATTTTTATTTATTCATTTGCGGGAGAGACAGAGAGAGAAGAAGCAGGGGGAAAGGCAGAGGGAGAGGGAGAAGCAGACTCCCTGCTTAACAAGGAGCCCGATGCGGGACTTGATCCCAGGACCCTGGGATCATGACCTGAGCCGAAGGCAGACGCTTAACCATCTGAGCCACCCAGGCACCCGGCTTTTTCAGTTTTCTATAAAGATTTTTAAAAACATTAAAATAGTCACTCATGCATCCACTAATTTGTTTAAACAATATTTATAGTTGTGATCACTGGTGTCAGTAAGCCCTGTAGGTGCTGGGAATCTGGGGTGAAAGGTAATCACAACACAGGTGCAGGTACAACCACATACAGCAGTCCCCCTCATCCACGATTTCACTTTCCGTGGTTTGGGTTACCCATGGTCCACCGCAGTCCAGAAGTAGATAACCCTCCTTCCAACATATCGTTAGAAGGTCAATAGTAGCCTAATGCTATGTCACAATGTCTACATCATTCCTCTCACTTCATCTCCTCACGTAGGCATTTTATCATCTCACATCATCACAAGAAGAAGGGTGAGTATAGTACAATAAGATATTTGAGAGATAGAGACCACATTCACCTAACCTTTATTATAATAATTGTTATAATAATTATTTCATTTTATTCTAAGCTATTGTTAATCTCTTACTGTGTCTAATTTATAAATTAAACTTTATCTCAAGTATGTATGTATAGGAAAGAACATAGTATAAACATGGTTCGGTACTATCCATGGTTTTGGGCATCCACTGGGAGTCTTGAGGTCTTGGTCTCCTCTGCAGATAAGAGAGCACTACTGTAAATGGACAATTATAATATGACCCAATAAATGCTATGATAGTGATAATGGCAGAATAAAAATGGGGATTTGGGACAAGGGCACCTAAAGGAGGTTACAGGGGAATCTTGGAAGGACCCTCTAACAACAGACAGACAAATTGCATTTTAAAGTAGATTTAATGTGTTTAGGAGTTTATGGGTTTGAGACATGGTGGGGTGGAGTATTACAGTGAAGGGGAAAGCATATAGGGTGGAATTGAGGGAATGTGGTCCTTTGATCTTAGGTAACTTTTTTTTTTTATTTGAGACACATATTTATTCAGTTATTGGCAAGCAAGTTCAAATGAGTCACTTAACCTCCCTGAACTTCACTTTTTGTTTCTATAAAAAGGCAAAAGTTATAGTCAGCATCTAGTTCAATTCCTGTGACTTAGTATGCATTTCAAAAATGTTTTCCCACAATTTTCCTTCACAGAAACATTGTGACATACTATACATTAATGTATTTGGTACAGTATGAGGTATGGGAATATAGCATTTTTAGAAACTGTATAAACATATGATACTTTATTATAATATTTGACTGTTAAAATAGAATAGGATTCTTATGGCGGGAGAAGGCTTAAGAGGTACCTGACCATTTTCTATACAATATCAGATATAATCCTCCAATAACCCCTTAGTGAATAAAATATCATTTTCTACATTTTATAAGTGAGAAAAAAAAGTCACTTACCCAAGGTTGTATAGTTACAAAATAGTTGTAAGATTTAGATTTAAAATGGAGGTCTGTTTGATTTTAAAACCCTTGTTGTTTTTTTTTTTATTATGTTATGTTAATCACCATACATCATTAGTTTTTGATGTAGTGTTCCATGATTCATTGTTTGCGTATAACATCCCGTGCTCCACTCAGTACGTGCCCTCTTTAATACCCGTCACCAGGCTAACCCATCCCCCCATCACCCTCCCCTCTAGAGCCCTCAGTTTGTTTCTCAGAGTCCATAGTCTCTCACGGTTCGTCTCCCCCTCCGATTCCCCCTCTTCATTTTTCCCTTCCTGCTATCTTCTTCTTTTTTTTTTTCAACATATAATGTATTATTTGTTTCAGAGGTATAGGTCTGTGATTCAACAGTCTTACACAATTCACAGCGCTCACCATAGCACATACCCTCCCCAATGTCTATCACCCAGCCACCCCATCCCTCCCACCTCCCACCACTCCAGCAACCCTCAGTTTGTTTCCTGAGATTAAGAATTCCTCATATCAGTGAGGTCATATGATACATGTTTTTCTCTGATTGACTTATTTCGCTCAGTATAATACCCTCCAGTTCCATCACGTTGTTGCAAATGGCAAGATTTCATTCCTTTTGATGGCTGCATAATATATATATATATATATACCACATCTTCTTTACCCATTCCTCTGTCGATGGACATCTTGGCTCTTTCCACAGTTTGGCTATTGTGGACATTGCTGCTATAAACATCGGGGTGCATGTACCCCTTTGGATCCCTACATTTGTATCTTTGGGGTAAATACCCAGTAGTGCAATTGCTGGGTTGTAATGGTAGCTCTATTTTCAACTTTTTGAGGAACCTCCACACTGTTTTCCAGAGTGGCTGCACCAGCTTGCATTCCCACCAACAGTGTAGGAGGGTTCCCCTTTCTCCGCATCCCAGCCAACATCTGTCATTTCCTGACTTGTTAATTTTAGCCATTCTGACTGGTGTGAGGTGGTATCTCATTGAGGTTTTGGTTTGGATTTCCCTGATACCGAGGAATGTGAAGCACTTTTTCATGTGTCTTTTGGTCATTTGGATGTCTTCTTTGGAAGAATGTCTGTTCATGTCTTCTGCCCATTTCTTGATTGGATCATTTGTTCTTTGGACATTGAGTTTGATTCAGTTCTTTATAGATTTTGGATACTAGCCCTTTATCTGATATGTCATTTGCAAATATCTTCTCCCTTTCTGTCGGTTGTCTTTTGGTTTTGTTGACTGTTTCTTTTGTTGTGCAAAAGCTTCTTATCTCAATAAAGTCCCAATAGTTCATTTTTGCCCTTGCTTCCCTTGCCTTTGGCGATGTTTCTGGGAAGAAGCTGCTGTGGCTGAGGTCGAAGAGGTTGCTGCCTGTGTTCTCCTCTAGGATTTTGTTGGACTCCTGTTTCACATTTAGGTCTTTCAACAATTTTGAGTCTATTTTTGTGTGTGGTGTAAGGAAATGGTCCAGTTTCATTCTTCTGCATGTGGCTGTCCAATTTTCCCAACACCATTTGCTGAAGAGACTGTCTTCTTTCCTTTGGACATTCTTTCCTGCTTTGTCGAAGATCTTAGGTAACTTCTGAAAAGCTTTTAGCATTTAGTACAGGGGAGAAGGTTGAGGGCAGTTCATCTATAGTGAAAAGATGGAACACAGGGTAGGGACTTGAGATGAGGGTATGTGGGAAAGACAGGGGAAAGTGGCAGTAGGGTACCCAGAAATCAAAATGCCTATTGAAGACTTTGCTGGGAGTCAGCTCATCACAATTTGCGTTGTACGTTTATTTACCCTAGTACTACACAAAAACCTCTGTGAAGTTATCACAAATCATTGAATCTCCTTTAAGAAACTTAACGTTGTATTAACAATGAAAGCCAATAAATACAAATAGGAAAGGAAGCAAACCCACATTATGAAAGAAGATAACAAAGTAGTGCTACTAGTGTTTTCTTGGTGACTGAACAAAATGCATGAAATGTCACTGTTTTAAATGCCTTTCATGGTTCAACTGGTTCAGACACTTGGTTCCACCGAATTCCTTCCACTTTCTGGCCTCAGCAGATACATGAGGTAGTGAGGATTAGAAGTAAAAAGGAAGAACTTTTCTAGGGGTGGCTGGGTGGCTCAGTGGTTAAGTGTCTGCCTTCGGCTCAGGTCATGATCCTAGGGTCCTGGGATCGAGCCCCACATCGGGCTCCCTGCTCCGTGGGAAGCCTGCTTCTCCCTCTCCCACTCCACCTGCTTGTGTTCCCTCTCTCGCTGTGTCTCTCTCTCTGTCAAATAAATAAATAAAATCTTTAAAAAAAAAAAAGGAAGAACTTTTCTAAGGATGATCAGTAAAATTAAGGAAGGCATTATTAAATTTGTTTTTGTTTTGCCATTTTTAATCAGTTTTGTAAGCAAGTGACTTCAATGCCCAGAAGGAAAAGTGAGTAAAGGTGTATCAACATCTAACAAATCATTCACGTTACTCTTTGTAATCTTTCTTTTGGATATTTAACGGCTTGTAATGACTATGATCTTGCAGGCACTTCCCATAAGCTATATATGCATTATTAATGAAGTTCTATGACTGGAAACTTCCATCACTGCAATGACTGTTGGAAAGCATAGGTTCATTCAAAATAATAATGCATAGGAGTTTGTCACAGTCTTAATATATGCATTCTTCTTGCAGATGGTTGAGAAAGAAGGCTATCTTCAGAAAGCTAAAATTGCAGATGGTGGAAAGAAACTAAGGTAATAAACTTCCTTAATTCACCTTTACATAACTATGATAGTTCTCCATCTCCTCAATTTGTGTCACTGCTGTTTAGAAAGGAAGGCCCTATGGTACGAGACTAGAATATTTCCCTCTGCTATCACTATGATCAACATTATTTTCACTATAATTACAGTTTTCCAATAAAGCACTACACTCTATATTGTTGCACATAATATTAAATGAGGTGCTTCTTGTCCTCCTGGAACTTGAAATCTTAAAAAAGCATGCAAATAAATAAGATAATGGGCCTTGATTTTTGAGATTAACAGATTAAAGGATGAGTGCTCTCATTTTGCAGTATATAAAAATCTCCCTACAATACACTGGGAGCATCATTTTTGAAGATTGGGGGGTTTGAAATAGATTTGCTGCTCAGATAAAAGTCATTTGAGAAAAAAAGGAAAATAAAATTATTCTGTCAGATAAAAAGTTGAACGTTGCCGCATTTGAGGTGAAATGAACACAGAGTCAGTCAGAGAAAGTAGAAAAAGAAAATAAGAATTCCCCATGCAACAGCACCAAGAAAAACATGGAAGGAAAAAATGAGGTTGATAGGTAGAGAAAGATGCTAGACATTCTCTATGGATGGGATATTTAGAAATAACCATTTCCATTTTAGAATGTTTCCTATTTCTCGAATATGTACTATTATATACTTAGCTTTGTGCTAGGTGATATGTAAGCTACAAAGATATGTAGAAGGTGCTCAAATCGGGAGACAAGTCATTCACTTATGACTGTATTATTAACAGTTAAAACCATAAAGGATGAATGTACTGATTAGCTACACAATGGGACACTTGTTAATTGTATAATGCAATTCATTACTGGAATGACACTCTGGCCAACAATAGACCATGAAGTATGCTTTTGTTTGCTGCCTGTAATGGAGTATGTATATATTTATTTAAAAGAAGTAAAACTGGAGAAAACAATCATCCGTAATTCTGCTGCTTAAAAGAGCTATTTCAATTTTAAAGAACGCACTCTACTTTTGGCTTACGTTGTGTTTTATTGTGGGATGGTAAACAGGGCCTTGAACCCTCGTCTACACTGCTTCTGTATAGCAACCCTGCAGCCACATTTCCTCGTCGGGTCCAGGAGAGACATGAATAGGACAGAAGGTCAAATGCAAGGCTGCTTTAAGAGACCGGACTGGTCCCTACCCCAGTGGAGAATCTGGCTTAAAGTGTTGGACTCTGAAAGGACACCAGGATGATTTTTTGACTCCTTTTCCTTAGACCCCAATCCCAATTACGCCAGCCCAAGGGAGTAGTGCTGAGGGTACAGCAACGACTCTTCCCAAGATAAACAAGTGAAGACCTTCTCTTACCTTACCAGTTACGTGCTCACAAAGTCTAAAGAGGGACAGAAAAAGACCTGAGGACTTGTCTAAGTTCAGCTTTCACTGGGGCTTGGTAGGGGAGAGGAGGTGAGAGCTGAAAGGAAAGCCTCATACATGGGAGAGGAGGAGATACTGAGAGGAATTCCAGAAAATAAAGATGATGCCCCGGTTTTGCCTGTCAACCATCCTTATAAAATTTTTTCCTGGAGGGTGATGTCAAGAAAAAACAGAGGAGCAGAGCCAGGCCCTTTCCCCAACTATCTCACATGAATACATTTTTGGACAGTTTCAATCAGCGTGTATACCATTTTGTATTTGTTTCATTTGTTGTTACTTTAATCAGTTTGCAAATCATTTTTGTGCTCTAGTTTAAATTCATATAAACATTAGCTTGAACTCTGTTTTATTGTTATTTCAATCAGTTTGCATACAACTATGCATTCTTTCAGCTTTTTTCATTTAAAGCTATATACATTTTAGTTTTTTTTTTTAACATCAGGTGCACAGAACTGAGTTGATTTTACTGCTCAGTGTTGGCTTTGTATTATCATCATTCCAGGCAAGACTCCTAGCTGGTTTTATTTTATCCTCAGTCTCCAACTCTCACTTCAATCCCCTGTAGAATGTATGTTCATCACATCCACTCTCCATATACGCATGTGGTTGTATGTGTGGCATTCTAGTAAATAGTGTATAGTTGTGAGTTTGTGAATGTGTCCTAAATTGCATAAGCCTTTTTGTGTTATAAACTTCCTTCTGTTTCTTATTACTTTTATTCAGTGTTAGTGTTTGGACATGGATCTCTATCTATATATTAAAATGAGTTCACTTCTTCCAACTGCTGCCCATTTTGCCATTGTGTCCATACACCACGTTTTACTTAATCTCTCAGTAGTGGACCCCTAAATTGTCCCTAACCCCTTCCGTCCCCTGAACAACATTGCAATAAGCCACACATATATGTCTCCTTACGCACCCATTAGGTATTGTCTCCGGGGCATATACCCAGGAGTGAAGGATTGCTTGGTGGTAAGACACACACATTTATAAAGCCATTGAGTGCTGCAGCCAGACTTCCTCCTGGATGAGCGCATGAGTTCACACTCCTGCAAAGGACAAGGCAGCTTGTCCTGCCATCATCTCGTCACCCAGCATTATGTAACTCTTAGTTTTGCAAGTCGATGGGCGAGATAATGTTACTACAGTGTTACATTTATTTTTCTTCCTCTCATTGGCATTTCAGTTGAGCATCACTTCATCCATTTAGAGTTAGTCAGGTTTCGCATTCTGAGAATTGCCTAGGTATCAACTTCAACTATTTTCTGTTAGTTTTCTCACTTTATTTTTGAAAGAATTCCTAATATCATCAAGGTAATCATAACCTTGTGAACTTTGGACTTTGTAAATATCTCCTCCAAGTCTCTCACTCTCTATTTACCTTGCTGATGAAAGCCCTCAATGACCCAAAATCTTTAACTTTGATCCATCTTGTTCCATAATTTTAGTCCTTATTGTTTTTTTAATAAACATTTTATAAACTGAACACTGTAGATGTAGTCACCATGTTTAATAACATGTAATATCCTGTCAGGTTGATGGCACTGTACTATACCAGACCATTCTTATACTTCTCTTTTATTTGAATTTTAAGTTGATTCCAGCTTTATACTAAAATAGTTATAATTGCAGCAAAACTCCTATTGTTTGTCAATGTTTCTTTGATTTTTTTAAGATAAATGCTAAGCCTGAAATACTTGATTAAATCACATAACCTTTTTTTTTTAATGTTATGGATTGCCATATTGCTTTGTCCAATGAGTCGGTATGTTTTTGTAGCTAGTAACAAAATGGTCAGTTTAATCATAACCTTGAAAAATTGTGTAGTTTTTATGCCACTGAATATTTAGTAAATATTAAATAGTATACCATAGTTGCTATCGTTTGTATTTTTAATATAAATGCCTTTTGATTGCCTTTTGCCCACTTATCAAGGTACTTTATATCTGTTATAAATTTTACTGAGTTAATAAGCAGTATTACTAAATGCTTACTCTGTCAAGTTTAGCTAAATGCTTCATAATACTGAAATGATACTCTAAGATAGGCTATATTATTATTTTACTTTCAATTTTACAAATGAAGAAAATTAATCACTGGTATTAACCTCTCCTTTCTCCTGAACCTTACTGTATACATAGTTAGTACCAGATTTTTTGTTTAGCTTCCCTCTTTTATATATTTTTCTTTCTCTCTAAGAAAAGTTTGACCTCTCTCTGAACATGAACAAGAGTGGGTAAAAGGAAGGAGAACTCATTGGCTATATCTTCCATTCATAAATGGCTGTAAGTTTAGCCTTCTCTTGAAATGGCGTTCTATAAATTACCACATGATACACAGACAGGATTGAAAGCTGAATACATTCAGCACTCAACTTTAATTTTTTAATTGTTAACATTGAAAATATGTTTTACTTTTCCATGTTTTAGTTTAGGAAGTCCTTCATTTGGGGACTTCCATCCCCCAAACTAAGTAGCAGCCCAGGTCTCTCTGAAACTCTGTGAGACCCCAGTGAAAAGCTATTTTCAATACTTTCCTTTACAAAAGGCACCTGACAGTGTGGACACTATGTCTCCATCTATGCCTGTCACTTTCACTTCATACCTGCCCCTTCATCATCTCCCTGGTGGCTCTGCACAGCTGATCACATCTAGCTGTCCCTCTGGGGGCATGGAAAGTACTTGGGGGTGAAAAGATGAGCAGAAAAGGGGTATGTGAGGAAAAGAAGTGAAGGTAGTACAGTGTTTATTTCTACTAGTGGTCATTTTCATCCCAGAGCCCAGAACTATGAGACCTTTGTTTTTATTTGTTTTCTTTTTTCTTTTTTTTTTTTGAACAGTTGTTCCTCAGAAGAGACTTCCTTAGAACATGATGCCAAAGTACCCTGCTAATGTGAACTTACTTTTTCTTTAGCACTTTCTGCTCCGGATCCCAGTAAATTCTTCAAGGCTGAATTGTCATTCTCTCCTTTTATGCTCAGTAGTGAGGACGGGAGGGAAGATTTGGATAGTACAGAATACAGAAGTTAAGTTGTAAAGGTTTGTTTTAGTTTTAGGATTTCCTTCATATGCTCTGTTATAATTTCCAACATCTGATAACTCTTCGGATATATCAAGATTTTACATTTCTTGCAATACTGACAGAGATGTGTGCATTTATACTGCAATGTCTCTTTGGCCCACTTTTAGCAGTGGCAATTTACAAGAGACTTAGAGTATGAGAGAGAAGAAATAATTTCCCAACCTACCAGTTTGAGAATGAGTAAGAACTCTTAACAGTGACCAAGGGATTTTATGCGCAATCTGTCAGGGCCTCTAGAGTAAATCACTTTCACTCCCACCACTGAGGGGAATCATGTCAAATCCAGTGTGATCAAGTCAGATAACAAAGGCAGGTGGCCCAGGAAAGTCTGAAATTTATGAAGTTGTCTCATATGTATTTTCCTCTGACTTTTGGATGGCCACCCGTCATTACCTAAAGGAACCATGGGAGAGGTGGGTGTAGGATATAAAACAAATGAATGTGTGAAACCTGAGCTCAAGCTAACAAATTCTTATAATGGTAATGAATATT